TCTTAAATTGTTTTATTTTCCTTAAATAAACTTTTATATTTTTATTATACTTAAAATTTTTTATTTATAAATAAAAAACCCTTATTTCAAACATGAAATTTAACCTAAATGATTCAAATGAATTATTGCAAAGCTGAGGTTTGATCTCAAGAATTTGCAAATTTTTCTTCCCTAACTCCCTTTAGGCATTGACTTTTTTTTATATGAAAAATCTTTATTTTAAACAAAGATTAATTTATATTAAATTTTTATTTAAATAAAAATTAAAAATTAATTTGAATGTAATAAAATTATAAAATTTATTTAATAAAATGATAAGATTCATTATTTTTTTCTATTTTAGCCTATTGATAAACTAAGAACATTAGTATAGTTAAAAAAAAAAAAATTAAGAAGAAACTCCCTTGCATGAAAATGCTATTATTGTTTAAATCCAAATTGCTTTTATCTATACATTTCCCGTCATCTCAAATCATCCTACTGCAATTAATTGGACTAAGATAAGAATATAAAATTTTCTTTTGATAATTGGTTTATAGATAGAATTTATAAAAACAAACAAATCAACAGCTAGACATAGGTGGCAAGGCCTAGGAGAGACCTATTCCATAAACAAATAAAAAAATTATAAAGAATAAACAATTGAAAAGGAATTAATAAAAGCTAACAATTAAAAAAAAGAAAAGAAAGGCAAAGCCGTTACAATTTACAACTCCTCGGGATTGCGGTGCACGTGCACATTTAACAAAAAGATGTTGACACGCCACACGAGTGAAAGTGGGGCACTGTTTCGTGTGGGTCATACTCTCCACGTCATCACCAATTACAAACGATAAATAAAATAATGTTGTCAAATAAGCCAATATTAATAATGTTACTAAGGCTATGTTCAAATTAATTCAATAAATTAATCGTGAGTATTATTATTTTTTATGTTATTTTCTATTAATAAGTTTGAATTTAATATTTTTTCTTTATTCTATAGTTGCAATGAATTGATGCATAGTAAAATCCGTGTTCCACAATTTGATTAAAAATGACTTAGAAGCTACTTCCCTTTCAAAGAATATTAGAATAATAAGAAAAAACGGTGAAAAGATTATAATTTGTAATACTAAATTATATAAGACAAAGTATAAGTCGGTGTAATATCAAAATCACTTTTGCATCGAGTCTTTAAATATATATATATATATATTTGTATAGCCTTTAATTTTAATTTTAATTTGAGAATATTTAAAAAATAATAATTAAAAAGAGAATAGGCAATAAACAAGTGCTCATTATCAATTTATTTAGATCAGGTAGGAAAAGAGATGTAGTGAACGAAATTAACCTAAAATTTTTTACTGATAAAAAAAATGTTCATTATTATTTGTTAAAATCGTCTACATTTAATTAATGTTTGCAAAGAATATAGCCAAACTCTTTGCATTTTAAACTTATTGAATAAAGCTTAAAACTCCAAATAAATGAATATATATTACAAAAAGACATATATATATAGCTAACTTTTTATCCATCCTTTCAGAAACCTCAATTCATAGTTAAAACTGGAAACAAGCTTTTCATACTTTATGAAGCAATCACTAGATATTAGGGCTACTATTTACTATTCACAGCTTTTTAACCTTTTGATGGAAGCAAAAAAGGTGTCTATGTAATCTTTTTAGTTATGGAGTTTCTGGTGCATTAATCATTTTCCTGTGGGAGGCCAAGACTCGAGACTAAACCCTATTTTTGCCTCATCAAACATCAAACATTAACACAAGACTCGTAGAAAACAAAGACCAATTAAGCTACTTTGAAATGTTGTTGGAATGATATTCCAACAACTAGCAAGATCCATGTATTGTTATGTCTCAGCTGTTTCAAGAAATTTTCCATGATTTTCGAGCGGCGCTTTGCTCCTTGAATTTTGTTCTATCTCTCAACTTTTCAAATCAGAATTGAAACGATCCGTCTTTTCTTGTCTTCCTCGAATGGCAAGTAGTTCAAATGACAAATAGGAACATGAACATGAACAAAAAAGAAAAAAAAAACCCTAGAAATTTAAGCTAGCTGACCTTTAGAAAAACTAGTGTGCTTTGTTTTGTGGGGCATGAAGAAGGGCAAGTTTTAGTTGACGGACAAAGACCATGTTGGAGAATGATGCTAACGTTTGTATCCATACAAAGACCAGTCAAGCCGACACCCACGTTACATATGGGGCCATTTTTACGTGTATATCATTGGAATATATCGCAAGAAATCTAGGCTTAACACTTAATTCAAATTATTTAAATGTCTATAATATATACTTAATTCTCTCAAAATTTAAATGAAAACTTTTCTTTCATAATTTAATCACCAAAATACCCTAAATTATATCTAACACATTTTTAATGTCTCAGTTTGGCCTATGATCTCTTATTAAAATGGTAAGAATCAGGACAAAAAACCATGGTTAAATATAATTTGATCAAAAGTACTAAACTATATGAATTAATCAAGTACCAAACTACCTATCAAAGCTTCATTTATATATTTTTAATATGGGTTTTTAAGGTGTTAACTTTCATGTGAGTTATGACTTACTCTAGACGTTTAAACATCAATTTCGATCCTAAACATTTCAAGTAGCGACGAAAATGTTGTTACATGATGATTGAGAAACACAAGCGGAAAGCTTAATTTTTAGAAGTATATATAAATTTTTTTTTTAAGTGCAATTATGATAGGTTATGTCATTCAAGTTTTTATAAAAAAATTTTGGGTGTACTTTGAATAGGGAGCAAGATTTCAAAGTTCAAACCATAAAATAGGGGCCAATAATCTCTAAGTTAGCTTAACAGTTAGGGCCATGATCAGTCGTCATTTCAAGAGGGTTAGCAATAAGGAAAATAAAATGAAAAAAGTGAAAGAGATGGTTTTGTTTTTGTCTATTGAAGGAAAGATGCAGAGAGTATGGAGTATAGATTGGTTAAAACTTTATAAACAAGAAAGTTAATCACAGATGGAGACAACCTGGAGAAGCTAATTACTTTTAGTCTAAGACAAACCCTATTTCTTCTTTGACCAAAAAAAAGTAACATGTAAGAATGGGGAAATCTGGCCCTAAAGCTTTGTCTGGTTGTGTATAATAGTAAAGTAATTTTAATTTAGAATTTTTTAATTTCAATATTTAAAGTTTCGGTTTGCTTCAAAGCTGAGAAATTTTTTCTTGGTATTGACTATTGAAGAATGAAATAGCCCCAGTCCCCACCGAAGCTCTTCTCTGCACTGTTTTCTTATATGAAAATTTCCAGCATTAACTTTCTGGGGATCTTCGACTTTTTGAAGTACACAACTTTCGTCCGACCAGAAAACACAATTTTTTTTCATTGCTTTCTTAATGAACTTAAGATAATACATGCTTTCCTGATGATTCTGAAATGGGTTGGCAATGTGTCCAAAAGTGTAGTCCTTGACAAACCTGTTGCTCAATGTAACATAATAAAATATCGATATTATGTTAATCAAGTCTGATTCCCCCTAATTTTTCCTCCACGCAACAGTTCTTCACTCTTTCTCTAGCTTTTGATAGAAAAGTTGATCCAGCATTTGCTCTAAAATATAACAGAGAGAAAAGCACTTCCAAACACAACTTATTAAGAAACCCTAGAGAAAAAAATACTTGCAACTTTCCAGCAGTTTCCCAGCAATATTATTATTAATTTTTGGATACAAACAAGTGGTCGAATTTAAACGTTACGTTTAGATGAAATGATAATACCTTTATTTCTTTGATTCACTGTAAGTGTCAGTATGTATATAACGTAAAATAAATATTTAAATATTTATAAATTTTTAATATATTTAAAAGATCATATTTTTCGAATATGTGTAACACATATTTTTTTTTAAAAATAAATAATCGGAACCACGGATTTATGTTGTCCAAATATACATCAAGCACGGATATTTTAAGAATGGAAACTCTTTTAACTGAAGACTATTCACAAATCCCCAAGTAGAATTATAGTAAAAAATATATATATATATATAATTTTCAATGAAAAAAAATGTCTTTTCTTTTGAGAATGAAGACAAGTGAAAAACGCGGAAGGGTCAGTTTAGAGTTGAACGTTTCTTTTCTGACAATAATATGAACAGATAGGACACTTCCAAAACTGTGGTCAATAGCATTTAAATTCTGAGTTTATTAATTTTGTGAAGTTGCTTTTTAAATTATTGTTTGGTACAAAGTTTATGCCAATGTAGATTGAGGAAAATGTGTCCTTAACGCAACAATTTTTTTTTTTACACTGCACCAAAGCTTTCTTTATCTGGATATTAATGCGTATCAGGCGTGGCTTTCTACTTGACCTTGGATGCTATGACCACCCTAGGCTTAGCCTATGGGGCAGTAGAGTACCGCCAATTCTTGCTCAGCCATACCTTTTCTAAGGTTGGTAATGGTGGGGAAGCTTGTGATCATTGTTTATGGGATATACCTTATGTTTCCTTATAAAAAGATAAAAAAATGTAAGAAATTTCCATGCTAAATTGGAAATCTTGTTTTTTTTTTTTTTTTTTTAGGCTAGGCAAGCACAGTAGGATATTTCTGGAAGAATTTCTGAGCTTCTCTGCAGCTGAAAGGGCAGGCCTTTTTTTGCTAAAGCAGGGGATAGAATAGGGTTAGACCCTTGGAGGCTGCCCGAACAAATATTGGCGAGGTACATCATGGGTGTATTCAGTGGACTCGTGCGTTTAACAGTGCCTACAAATTGAAGTTGGGGCTTAATATTATAAACCAGCTCTCAAGTATCAAGCACACATTGCAACGTTCTTACTATATCTATAGAACCAGTTGTCGAAGAACCAGCATCAACTGAAGCCTGAAGCCAATAGAGAGAGAGGACCAGGCTTTTGCAAGCAAGGGAAATTTTCATCCGCAGAAGCCATACCTTAACAGATAACATAATAGTATGGCAAGGGCATACCAGTTGAGGAAAATATAAGTACTATGGCAACAGGCCCTCACATAAGCGAATATGACTTGAATAATTTTCGCACAAGACAGGATAGGAAGGAGACTATTGTTCTTTATTTTTCCTCAGAAAAACGTTTTACAATGCTATGCCACTACTAAAGATCAATCAGATAATGATCTCAGTATTTCGGAACGAACACATTAAAAACTGTATAATTGCTCATGAACTATATATATTTTTCTGCACAAATGCTCAAAACAGCTTCAATATGAACATCTGGATCCGAGCATACATTTATTTGACAGTTTACAGGATGTAAAAGACGTTCAGACTTTTGGGGGTCCTATCTGAAAATGCCTTCATCATGGGACCTAGGAAAACCTTTTAGTACATCTCGTAAAGCATAATAGTGGTTATCGCATCTGTGATCTGATATTATGTTGCTTGAGAGCACTATCCTCTGGAAATGTTCACCTGGATGTCTCCTCCAAAGACTGAAAGATTCCCTGCCCCTGTTGTCGCTGCTTTCAGCTTGATTATCTACGTTCCTCTTCAAATAGTAAACAGTCCCGGGAACAAATAACTCCTCTGGCACGGTGTAGGCATCTTCTTCTTTTTGAAGTAAAGCGTTTGTTTCTAATTTAGAGGCCAAAGGAACCGAAGTTGATTCCTTTTTTGTGGAACTATCTGTTCACAAAGATCGAAACAGCATTTGTTAAAGAAAGACAAATATCGCAAATTAGTAAAGCAAGAACAGGCGTAAATGAATAATAGAAGCAAATGATGCAAACTCAATCCAAACGCCCTTTGGCCTAAAAGTTGCATGGTATGCCATGACACCGTTTAATGCATATTCTAAAAGCAGCAGTTTGGCTTCATTAATGAACATGACCTAACACTAAAATCTGCTCTTAAAAACCATTAGAGCATGTTTTAAAACATGCCTTCTCCGAGATGACAACAGAGGTTACCAGTAGCTATTAAGTATAAATTAGGAAATATGGGCAAAAGAATAGAAGTCAATTACGATAAAGACATCAAAGACATATATAGCAGGTTAGAAAACAAAATCAGATAGACAACAGTCATCAAAAAGAAGGAAGATTTCCAAGTAATGAGATAATCCAATTTATACTTGGGTGCTACAACAACTAGATTATAGGTGCAACACTTACCAGAAGATTCTTTTTTGCTTTTGAACTGTGCATAATCAGCAAGTTTCCGAGCTACATCTTGTACTGAAGACACAACCAGTTTTGCATTTGTGATCAAATCTACTGCACTTTTCCAGTCTGCCTTCTCCACCACACTCATCCTGTTAAGACAGAGGAAAGCAATTAAATTCTCATTGTTACTACATTTCAATCTTCATGTAGATCTCAGCTTGAAAAATCAGAATACCTTTACGTGACAATGAATAGCCACTCCTATACAAGATAGGTAAAAAAAATCAAAATATATAAGAAAAAGTTCATTTACTTGATACAGGTTATTGTACCCATCTCCTCTAGTTACAGTGTTAGATTCATGCACACAAGAAACCAACAATTTCTTAAACAACTGAAAAAACACTTCAAAGAACAAACAGGATAAGTTCACCCCAATAACCTAACACTACCCCATGGGTATAAGCGCTTTGAGAAAATGAAAGTTCCGTGGCCTTACAGGCATAGGAAACTCCTCACTCCAAACACTGATGTTAACAGTGTTTTTGGTTGAGGATATTGAAATGGATAAAATTCAAGAATTCCTCTTGTTTATATAACATAGGGAAGAGAGCTTTCCACAACTGGAAATGAAAGAAATGAGAATATCATTCAAATTTTTGCAGAAGTTTACAAATTTAGATTGGATAAATACTTTTATACCATTGAATTACCTCATCGCTCTCCATATCACTTCTCTTAACTCCTAATAGCTAGAAAGAAATTTAATTCACATAAAACTTAGTTCTCTTCATTTCTTCCATACTCTTCACTTCTTTAACAAATTATATTGCCAAACAAGCTGTTCAACAGTCCCACTAATCCATCAAGAAAAGGGACGTAGAGGTTTTATATGTAAAAGAAACTGGTTTAGATATTTGCGATTAAAAGTTCTTTTATGGTTGGTTTGAACAGTTTGTTTAGCAATATAATTTGTTAATGGGACTATTGAACAGTTTGAATTAAAGCCAATATGTAAATGCGAGCACTTTTCTTGTGGAAATTTTCCTTGACACCAATGCTAAATTGGGTTTGTAGCATTTCTGCTACTCAAATCACATTCTTATTTCACATGTTAATTAGACCAGATTTGCATGCTTACCAGTCTGTTTGAAGAATTTCATTCCTCAGCCTTGCTAGAGATGCTGCACTTAGTCTAGGCACAATGTCATCCTGTATGCAAAGAAAAACAAAAAGCATTGGGAAAAAGAAGTCAAAGATATACAACAAGGAAAACTACTAAACTGGGAAACCCCAATTTAATAGAGAGGAAATATTCCAATAAAAGAAGCTTGTACAATGTACAAGTAGATGTGCTTACCTGCATTACAATGCTTGTAACGAAATCAGAGCAAGTTTCAGCAAGTTCTTTGGAAACACAAGGAGGAGTTGCATATCCAACAGCAGAAACAATGTCAGGGTTAAACCCCAGCTCCATTTTTGACTTTTTACGAAGCATTATTGCCAGTAAAGAAGCTGTCGCAGCTCCAAGAGAATGCCCCACCAGCCTTAACCTAAATCCCTGTAAATGAATTAGGCTCACTACAACTATGAAAATAAAACTTCAGGTTTAAAATTAGCAAGTATACAATACAAGAAGGGGAAGCGAAGGGACGGGAGAATATGGGGCAGGGGTGTTAAGAGAAGCCTAAAACAGAATTGAAATATCCAAAAACAGACACAGTAAATTTAACCACCTCATATTTCTCCAAGCACTTTCTTATTGTTCCTATTTCATGGTGAAGAAACCATCGAGCAGCTTGGGCTGTGCCAAAGTGAGTTGAATAGCCTTCAAATGTAACCTCTCCATCACTTGATGAAATAATATCAGTAATAAGATCATAGACAGTGTGAGTTCCACGAATTCCAAATATTAAAAGTTTCTTTCGAGGATCAATTCCTATATAATATCCAGGCCTCATCACACTAGAGTTCTTTACAAATTTCAAAACATTGCTTTCTCTAAGCATGCTGGTCCTAGCAAGGATGGCAGCATTATCCTTATAACATCCTTTTGCTAATTCAATATGGTATATCAGATCTTGGACCTACATCACAAAACCATCTTAATAAGACTCTTTGTCATAGCTATCTAAAAATATTAAAAATTCTTTGCCGAGGCACTTAATACAAGGGTTCAGCAATTACAATTGAATCTGACGTGATCTTCACACCCTTAACATCCTCAAACAGATTCAAAGACGTCTGACGAAGGTAAATAAGATATAGGCCTATGGTAAGATCACTCAAGCTCCAACCTTCAATTCCGGTTTTACTCCTCTGGATGCTAGATATGATTTCTGAGACTGATCGAGTGCTGGGAGGGGGTTTATCCCCTACTTCATTTCCTGCACTATTCAAATTAAATTAAACAGACCTTTTAACTACAAAGCCGAAATTTGGGGAGGAAAAAAACTAGTGTGACTAATTGCAAATCAAAATGCAATGAAACTTCATTACCAGCTAATAAATGTTTATATTCTTGATCTTGAGTTTCAAAACAACAATAATAACGAAGAAATCAATTTAGCTAACAAGATTATGGGGCATGAATTGACGTAAAACAGACCTATTGGCAGAGCCCACCTACACAATTGCAGAGCTGGCTCAAGAGCCTTTGTGAGCCAAGCAAGCTCTAATTTCCACTTGGTATCACCAACATAATCTTCATCACCAGAACTATATTTGAATAATCTGGTACTGGTATCATAACCAGCCTTCTTATCAACTTCAGGCTTCAAAGAAACTTGAGCCACATCTTTTGCCTCTTTTTCTTTATTTAGTTCTTTTATTCCGTCTAGTTTTGACCATTGTGACTGACAACGGTTAAGAATACCATTCAAAAATCTACCATAAAGTTTCTGTCTTCTAATAAAAATGTTGGTATAGTCTGAACCTAAGCAACAAAAACAAGAAACCCAATATTAAAAAAAAGAAAGAAACAAAGGTTGGATTTGGCTTTGTAAAGCTTCAAGAAATTTTACTCAGTTGCCATCCAAACTACACAGAAAGTTAAGATTTTTTCTAACAGATTCGCTTTTAATTAAAAACCCAGACAGAAATTGCTCTAAAAATGAAGAAGGCTGAAAAAAGAAGAGCTGAAGCAAAATACTTACAAAGATTGCGTAAGAAGCGTTTGCCAGATTGATTAGCCATTACCAAAGATTCAGATAAGGAAAGAAAATAGTAGTAGTAGTAGTAGTAGCAGCAGCAGTAGGCGACTAGAAGTAGTAGATATCAACGGTGGTTCTGAACGAGCTTGACAGGTGGGCGCTGGCCATACTCCGGCCGCGAACAATCTAGCAGAAGATGAAGGTTGTTTGGAAGTGGATATTATTTTTCGAAGTTGTGGGTATTACGCTCAAAAGCCCAATAACAAAAAGTGGGCCACATCTAAAAAGGTCAAATAATGCTATTGGGCCTAAAACTAAGTCCAACAGAATTTTCTCACAGTATTAGGGTTTTAAGTTTTAACTCACTTCCTATAAATTCCTCTTTGTTCCGAGGGTTTTTTCACTCGAATATCTAATGAAGTTCCAACAAGCCGTTCGGCTTCGAGCAGAGCTGTTCTTAGTTACACTTTGATTGTCTTGTTTCCTTTAATTTCTGTTTTTAGCTTTGAAAATTGTTTTTGGTTTAACACTGTCTATGATTTTGGTGTGTTTTTATAAGGTGGTTGGAGAATGAAATGATGAACTGAATGTTTCCCTATTGGTTTGATTGCCATGATGATGGCAACTATAATGTATTAGCTCTATCTGATCATTCTCTTTACCTTTGCAAATTGGTAGTATTTGTTCGTGTTTTTGACAAAATTTGAAACTTTACTATTTGACTTTCTGCTTGCAAGATTTTTTAGCTTGCTTTTTGGATCCCAAAAAATACTTCTTTTATCGACTCTGCTACTCATTGCATTGATTCGCATTTTTTAAAGTATTTCTGGGTGTTGAGAGAGTGAAATGATGATTGTGATATTTTTGCCTATTGGTTTGATTGCCGTGATGATGGCATCTTAGTATTAGCTCTATCTGATCATTAGTATTAGCTCTATCTGATCATTCTCTTGGAAAAAAAAATTGCTCTTTTTGGATTACTGGTGATCAGAAATTCTTTTGTTTACATATGATAATCGGAGATGGTTTCCAAGTATTTATAAGCAGTTTTGCACTGACAGAAGTGAAATGAAAGGATCCAGTTGGATTAGTCGTAGGATTTACAATTAGTTGTACCTTTTTATTTCTCCACAGTTTTGTTCTAAGTATCTTTCTTATTTTCAATTTGTAAAAAATATATATATATTTATATATATTTGTGGTCCCTGAAACATATGGATAAACACGAACAATAAATTTAAAATATAATATCTTCAATGCCATCACTTCTATCCGTTTAATCAAAATCTTTTCCAAAAATTCTCGATAGTAAGTCAGGCCCGCATTCCGGAGTATTCTGTTCTCCTTTTTATTTGTTTATTTATTTATTTATTCTTTTGTTTTTGAGATATGCTCATATACTTTGGCATATATCAAATATTTGCAAACAAAAAAAGAAAAGTTGTAAAATCAGGTCCAACAATTATGCCTGGCTGGATTTTGAAGAATATTTCCTTGTCAATATAAAAATATCAATTTCTTTTTCCTTGCAGAATTTATAAAGCTACACCAATGAAGGGGGTAGTGTTTCTGTTTTGAAAAAATGGCAGCTAATCTTAGGGAAAACATGTATATTTAATCTGCCTATGAATGAAAGATATGCGTAATAACGTATCGAGATTGTAATTTCCAAGGAAACGACAAATGCGGGTATCTCGCTTCGTTTGGCCTTTTTCCATTACTCATTTCCTTTTCAACATTTGTATAATACTATTGTTACTACTAATATCAAAGCTTAAAGGTATTTGTTCTTACCGATTTCTTTCATTCATTCATGCATCCAAGATATTTGTACCCTTCTCATGCATGGAGGGTCACTACCCAGTGCTCCGTTTAAAGGCCATTCTTTTCATTCAGTCCAGCCATCATTGCCCTCTCCTTTTTTCACCTTAAATGGTCACAATCAACAGCTAAAATTAGCCCCTCCCAATCTCCTTCAGTTAGTTCCAGCTATCATCTGTTGACATGGAAGTCTTTTCTGAAGAGGGTTCAAATTATGAAAGAGCAAAGGAAGTGAAGGACTTCGATGAAACTAAAGCAGAGGTTAGAGGATTTCTTGACCCTGGTGCTGTCAAGATTCCCAAGCTCTTCATCCATCCGCTGGAAAAGCTGCAAAGCTCTAGTGCTAATAGTACTAGAACAGTTTGTTTCCAAGTTCCACTAATAGATCTGGAAGGCTTTGAAGGTAGTCGAAGGAAGGAGATATTGAATGGAATCCTTCAAGTAGTTAACCATGAAGTTCCTTTTTGCATCATGGATGGCATGCTAGCAGGCGTACGCTCATTCCATGAACAACCAAAGGATGTGAAGATGAAATGGTACTCGCGGGATTGTTAGCATCCTGCTAGGTATTTCAGCAATGGAGATCTCCTTGTAAGCAGGAGCGGCGAACTGGAGGGGTTCGATAGCATTTGATTTCCATGATAGCCAACTAGACCCCCAAAATTTTCCTCCAATATGCAGGTACTATAAGAAATGCAATTTAAGCATCAAGTGTGTAACAACAGATACAAACTCAGAAATTTTGAATTACTTTCGCAGGGAAGCTGTAAGGGAATACGTAAAACACATGATCAAGCTAACAAAGGACACTATCTGAACTTCTATCAGAGGCCTTGGGGTTTCATAGTGACTACCTTCCCAGCATGGGATGCACGGAAACCGTCATTAGCGTGCCACTACTACCCTGCTTGCCCCGAGCCAGACTTGACATTGGTTGCAACCAAGCATTAAGACCCATCTTTCCAGACCATTCTGCTTCAAGACAATATCTGAGGCCTCCAAGTTCATCAAAGTAACTGGGTTGATGTTCCTTTTCTTCCAGGCGCTAACATTTGGCGACTTCATTCAGGTATAGTCTTATAATTATCACTATATTGTAATTCTTCTACATAAAAGATGCAAAAGCACATATGTACACGTGCAAGCTCTCTTTTTTCCCTAGTCTAGAATGACAAATTAGGGTTATCTTTTCTCCTTTATTAGCTCATCACGAATGACAAATTCAAAAGCGTGCAGCATAGAATGCTAGCAGGATAAGTACCAAGGGCATCGATGGTACTACCTCAGGAAAGATGGGCACATTTAAACCATAGAGTGCTAGCAGGTCAAGTACCAAGCACGTTAAATAATTTAAACCATATGCACCAATAAATGAGCTTCTGACAGAAAGTAATCCACGTCTATACTGGGAAACTCATGTCACCTATATACTGAAACCCATATGTCCTATTTCAGGGCCAAAGGTCTGGATGAAAACTCAAGCCTTCCTCATTTTAAATTGCAATAACCTCATGATGCATGATACCACAAGTTCATCATTTTGAGAAGCACTAATATAAAGTAGTCTGTAATTTAGCTAATGACGTTCTATGATATCAATTTTTCTTTCTCATGTGCAATGGCTCCTTTGATGGTTAATGTTAAAGCTACATGTTCACAATTAAGAGCCAAAGTTTAAAGCAGATGCGGATGGAAAATATCCAGCTAAGCACCCCAGATTGGTGTATCATCGAAACTTGCAAATAACTGATGATGTGTAGTGTAAATTGGGAAAGACGGAAGAAAATGATAGATGGCATTTCCACAAACTATGAAAAGCAGAAGCAAAAATTTCTTCGCAAATTGTTTCTTAGGCATACTTGCTCTCCTTTTCCCCTACTTTAAATATTTTTTAGGGAATCGGGAGACCAAGGCATGAGGCAAAAACCATAGAGCCAACCAAAAATCACAAACCACTCACAATATTTTACAGTAGGAGCCAATGTTAGTGCCTCCAAGAGGTGAAAAGCCATTGCAGCTAGCTTGCACCCTTGGATTGCAAAATTTGCACAAGTGACCATAAGATATCCATTCTATGCATAACTCTGTTGTTCTGCCCCTGCAACGTGTTCATAATTGGAAATTAGTTTATAAAATGGAAACAAAGTTAAAAGAGGATTAAAAAAAACTGAATTATTTGGCACTTACAAATGTAGTTCACACATGCATGGAGTTTAGGAGGTATAGCTTATAATAGATTCAATGTATAAATTTCATACATATCAAAAGGAAGTCATTGACATGTTTCATTAGCATCCCATCAGCATGTTTTGTGCAGGCAAATAACCAATGGAACACACAGATCACAGCCACAAATGCAAAGACAAAATGATTCAACACAAGATGTTGAACATGTCCCCTTGATTTCTATTTTTTTCATTAACACAAATTGCTTCCATTAGTGCATGCAATTTATGCATCAATGTTCAGCATCCAGCATGTAGGAGATGGAACTTTGAAAACTTACAAATTTACAAGAAATGCTTGGATGTTGTGGCTGGCAAATACTAAACTATTAAAGGTGGTAATTGAGATGCCCAAATGGTCCCATAGAAGGGCAATCAAATTCATGTGTAAGCCTTAATATGCCAGATAATTAATCCGGGAGAATAAATCCTACCTCAACCACAAAACATATCCAAGTCTCCTCCCCATGTGCTTCTGTAACCCCTTTTAAAATTGTCAGGCCCAAGCTTCCGATGGCCTCCGCTATCTCAAGAAAATGACTACATTCCTTGCACATCATCTGCATGGATCAACTAGAACACTTTAACACTAATAATAAACCAAAAAAAAAAAAAAAAAACAAAGTAAAAAGTAAAGTCTCATCTTTTCTTTTTTCTTTTTAAATTTGGGTACAAATTCTCATCTTTGACGGTATGAAAACTACCATTGCGTCATATTTTCAGATTATCACTCTTTGTTATTCACTTAATTCTTTTAGTTTTCTGACATCTTTCTGAATTATGATACCAGTGAAATAATGAACAAATTCCCTAATTGAACATATACTAAGGGGTGAATCCGCCAATGAAATCATAAACTTAGCAAACAATGACCTTAACCAGTGAAATAATGAACACAATTTCGTAAACTAACATACACTAATAAGTGAACTTACCAATGAAATCATAAACTTAGCAAACAATAACTATAACGATACCAACAGGAACAGTTCTCATGAACCTGCACAGACTCTATACATACCTCTACAAGCATCTGCCCATTTTTGTTTATATTCTCCACTACTATTGAGCAAACTTTTAGATGGCTTCCCACTTCCACTGCCCAGCTTGAACCATGTTCATAATTGGATGATCCTAGCATGCCAGCTCCCTTGTGATGCATCTACAAAATCAGTAATATAATATGTCAACCAATAGAAGAAAAAAAAGTAGGCTCTTTCCAATGGTGAGTGTTTCCACTACATCTAATTTATTATATATCAACAAGTTCAAACAAATTTTGCAGTAAGAGGGGCTTGAAAATTTTACTGCAAAATTTGTGACAACACTTGATTTCAACAAGTGTTCAGTAATTATGTTGCCATTTCATGACAAACGAAAAGAATCTATACAAATATGTCTACAAGCCTCACAGGTGAAAGCCCCTCAAAAAATTCCAATAGAACTCAAATGACATCATTTAGTTCCTATACCCCAAGACTCAAACAGATGATGGAGATCTATTCAGTTTCTAATTTACTAAGCCAAAAGATCATTAACCAGTAAACTGCCTGGGCCTTTACCTTTGGTTCAGAACATTTACCGAGCTTGTCAGCATGCTTAGTGATGCCTTGCAGAAAGACCATGTGCTTGATTGTGCGCTCCAGCAATGAATCAATACTGCACTGCAGATTTTTCATGAAATTTTAGCAGACTGACATTTGTAAGGGTGGAAACAGCAATCATCAGAATCCAACACTCATCTGAATAGCAAGAAAGTTTACCTTTGCTCCATTGGGCACAAGATCCCTTAGCTCCTTAATACGATCTTGAATGAGTTGCCTGTCCCTTGGTCTAGGCCTGGGATTTTCACCAGGTCTAGCCCTCTTTCTGTTGGTCTTAGCTGGCTCTAAAGACCTCTCATGCTGCTCACTGCAATTGCTAGGGCAAGCAGAAGAAAATCCTTTTGAAGGCATTGCACCACATAACTCTGATGAATTCAGGCACTGCTGTGTGTTGTCTTCCGCAAGAGAGGACTCATTAATTGAATAACCAGCTGAATTAATAGTAAGTTTAGTTTGGCTTGAAGGCTCTGGTGTATTTCCAGTTGTCAACAGTGATGCTGCTGATCTGCAAAATGATCTCTCACTTTTGATATCACTGCCACTATTGCAAACATTTGCCACTACAGCTTCTAGGAGATTCTCTGAACCATATTCAAAATTTAACTGGCTGCTTCTCATCCCCTCTACCATTTCGATATTAGCTCCAGCTTCGGTATTCTCTGCCAGCCGATCAGCATAGATACCCTTTCTCAGAAAAGCTGGTCCAAGTGCTTCATAAAGTTCACAGCCAGCAGAAAACTTTAAGGAAGTGTTTATTGAGTCCAAGTCACTTAAATCATTTTGATTCCCCAACTTCTTCATGTCCTTTTGAAATTTCATGTCAGAAAATTTGGGTATCTCCAACACCTTATTTCGATAAGAACTCAAACCATCCGACTTAACCGTATCCCTAAGTGTAGTGTGAAGGAAGTTTGAGTAGCATGAATGATCAACTCCATACTTTTCAGCTTGAAGTGCAGCATTAAATGAATTTAAACTACCAACAAATGGATTGTTCACATAGACATTTTCTGGTCCCAAACTTGAATTTTTCCACCCACTGGTCTCTCCTTTGCATACCCCATTGTTTATAAAGTTCCCCCCCAACTGATTTTGATGCTCCAAATTGGAAACATTTGATCTTCTTGTCAGTAATTTAGCACTCTCATCACTTCTTGCTGAGGGTAGCCCAAGCCCTTCATGCTTATTTTCCACTTCGCCTGCCCCTTTGAGATGATTACTAGACAGTGGAAGAACAAAAGAATTATCACTGTACTTTTGGTGATCTGAAAACTCAGGCAACAAAACATCTGGCACTTCTTTGTCTACAGCTTTATCTAAAGGGATAATTTCTGAATCTAATAGTTTTGAAGGTAAATCTGGCTGCAAAATGAAGATCCATAAATATTATTACCATAAACATATGCACATGTAATTTTGTGCAAGGTTGCTTTCATATACACACACGCTGAAATGCAGAAAGAGGGAGAAAGAGAGAGAGAATTATACCTCAAATAATGAACCCTTCATGCTACATTCTATTGGACTGGCAATATGCCCTACAGAAGAATCTTGAAGAGGAAAAAAAACATCTCTAATGTGATTCACCAGCTTCACATCCTCAAATACCTGCTCCATTCAAATAAATAATACCTAGATATAAACGCAGCCTAGGATTTGGCCATATTAAGACATACTTTAATAACTCTTAATCATGTTAAAAATGCCTTTAACAAATTAAGGCATGAGTGTTTCTTAACCATAATTTTCAGTGTACTCCATCCAAAATAAACATAAAGTATAGAGTTGATAATTCTGAGAAGCAAAAGAATTCAACAACTAATAGAAATGCTGAAGAAATGCATCAAAATTACAAGGACAAAGCCACACAAAATATTACATTTTCAGAAGCCAACTACTTTATTGACACAGCTTCAAAAGTGGATAATATCTTTCATTTGAGCAAGATATATTCGTATAAAACAAAAATCTTAGAAGGTTAAAGATATCCACCCCAGAACCCCTAAAAAAGTTGCACAAACTTCAGCTTAAAGTAAATAAATTGATAACCATTCGTAAAGTACAAATGCACCAAAATAAATGGAACTCATCTTACTTTATTTAAGGAGCCAAGCTGCACAACTCCATGGGGAACAACAGCAACAACAACAATGGTCTACAAGGCAAAATGAAAATTACTTCTATTAACAGGGTAACCAAATATATAGGGAAGGAAAATAAAATTTAGGTAAAAGACAATTCTAGACAACATTATGAAAGTGCATTTACTTCCAAACTCTCCAGAAGACAAATTAAGAGAGTTAAGACTTACATTCACTTTATGCTAAGGCTAAATAAAATAACACAAGAAATTGTAAATGTGAAGTGGAATAAAATGCCTTCATTCAAAATGCAGGCTCTACCAAAAAAGTTTTGACCTTTGACCAAACATAATCAGTTATTGACTTCCATGTGTTGAACCATGGTAATCATCACAACTAAAATACATTGCACTCGAAATATTCTTCAGAGGGGGGAAAATGCATGCATACCCTGATCCCTGCCGCAAACTGACTTTGCCAACCATCATAGAACTGAAATTCAAACCCAATTAAGGAAGAAAAAAGTGTATGAGAGAAATGGAAACAAAATCAACTCTGAAACAGTATGTTTGCTACCATTTCTTGGTAAAGTTCCTTACCTCAAACAATGAGCAGGAGCTATTAACATGCTTATCTGCAAATATCCACTGATGTTTTCCAGAAACTGCCACTTTTCCAACAATCCTGTAAAACAAGGGAAGAATACTAATTGGAGTTTGTTGCATAGGCTACATTTACTTGTTAATTACCCACTTCTATTACAATTCAGAAATTTGATTCTTATCATAATCATAACCAAAATCAAAACAGATTTTTGTAAAACTGAGATTGTTTCATCAGTGCATACTTAAGCAAAAAAAAATGCAAGAGGATTGAAGGGGTAACAAGACCCTATCTTCGACCCATTGCATCCTGGTATCATATTTCTTTAACTATTGCATGAAAAATGCCAAAAAATACCAAACACTGAACAACATATTTATCAGTGGATTGAGCCATACCCTTTCCCTAGAGAATATACATGATAAGACATCTTTGCCACAGCTAAACCAAGGGGGTCATGTGAATAATATCCACTGTGCAAGCGTTCTAATGTGTTAGGGAAACAATTATTCTCCGAAGGATCATGTTGGTCATGATTGTCATAGTATGCATCCTCCCAAGTCAGCACCCTGCAAGAAGTTCAATACTGAGAATGGTACTCAAGCAAACACATCAATGTATTATCAACAAAGGCCAGCTTATTATCCCACAGAATTAAAGGTAAAACAGAGCAACTATTAATTTACTCTCTTACTCTTCTGATAATCTCAGTATGATACTCCAAGAGCTAACAAACATAGAAAAAATAATTGATCCCTGAACTAATCAACTGGTATTGGCCTATTTTTTGTCCTTTTCATTATAAAAAAGGGAATTAAAAGAAAACTAAAAAGTAAGTATGTTCATTTCAGGAACTTCTGCGAAGTTGGCAGCTTGTAATTAAATACTACTCATAAAGGGTAAATGAGAAGGAAAAAAACAGGTGTGAATTATATCCTATGCCAATTCCAGGGGTCAAAGCCATTCCAAACTAACTTAAAACATCTCAATTATACCACAAATTCAAAAATTAACCAAAACCTTAATTCATCTTAGATAATAAACTCCAAATAATTAGATGCAGATGCACACAGACTCGGAAATAGCTGACCTCAAGGAACATAACAATATGTTCATAACCTTTTTTGTAATCTACGCTAAAAACAAGCACACTGCAAATTAATGAATTAAACAAATATAATGATCAAATTAAAAGAAACAAAAAAAAGTTACGAAAGAGGAAGTTTACTGACATTCGAGCTCGATGCTTAAGCTTCCAAAAAACAGCGTATTTCCACTCAGTATTGAGACAGAGACTTCTCAGTATCCGGCGCAACCCACTGCTACTTGAACTGCTACCCATCTCAATCCCTCCTCAAAAGGAAACCAACTTTTTATTCTGTTCAAAAAGGTCCCCACTCCACCTACAAACAACAAAATCACCCCCAACCTAAGTTTTTCTTTGTTTGCAGTAAAGCCCCTAGCTTCCTCTGTAAGAGCCTCTTCCAGCCTGTTTTCTCCTCAACCCCGCTCGCGGTTTAATCGGCGGTCCAACCGTTGCCAGTAACAAACTATTCGTTCCCATTCCCTCTCCGGCCAAGGGAAAGAAAAACAGAAAAAGAAGCGATATTTTAAAAGGTTTCGTCGCAGATGCCGATTACAAGATCAAACTCGCGAGATCAATCATGAAACTCTCGTCGCAATAAACACCGCTACAGATGCTGCATTTAGCCATCGTTCTTTTTTTTTTTTTTGCTACAAAAAGATGAAAACTTTTTTAAATCGTTGAAGAGACAAAGAGAAACTATATAGCGCGACAAAGATTTTGCAGAAACGCCTAGCTTATATCCGACGACATGGATCGTTGAACTCGTTTAAGATCAATTTTTTCTCAACAAATTAGCGACGAAAATTTTTTATTTTCAATAAGAATTGAACTACAAACTAAGTAGAAGAAGAAAAATAGAAGATCAAAGCTTAACGGACTCTTCGAAGGAGCAGCTTTCAACAAAGTCGAATTCAAATCTCGGCTACATTTGTTGCCATTTTTATTTTGCTTTCCACCGCTTTTTCCTTTTTTTTTTTTTTGTGGTAACCAAAAGAGAAAATAGCGACGGTTTTTTTCGTTTCGATGCTTTTTTTTTTTTTTGTTAATAAATCAGCAGCGTTTTTGACGAAACTGGACGCGGCGTAACTTTATAACCTGCGCATCGTTGAGGCTTCTTTGTTAATCCACGCACGCGGCGCATTCTAGGGCTCTCCACGAGATTAATGCAATTATTTGAGAGATTTTTTTAAATAACAAAAGTTTTCTCAATTTTATTACTTTATTTATATAAAATTCTATACTTTTATTTTTTATTTATATTCAAATTTTTAAATTTTTATTATATATAAATAAATCATTAACAAAAATATTTTTTTAAAATAAATATTTTATTTAAATATAAATAAAAAATAATTTTTTAAATATAATAAAATTACAAAAATTATTTAAATAAAATAAAATAATTAAAAGCCAAAAAAATAAAGTAGAGTAATTTAAAATTTTTTTAATATTATAATTTTTTTGGCGTGAAAGGAGAAAGGGGAGGAGATTTTGAGGGGGGAAGACATGCATGTATTTATGAAAATGGGGAAATTGAGTACACTTTCTAACAAGTGTGTGATTTTATGGCCAACAAAATGATTTCCCAAAGAATTGAATATGCATCTTATCTTTCCATAGTCCATCCATGCCAATTTTTTCTTTTTCATCTTTCTTTTCATTTATGCTCCAACCATTAACCCCTGTCTTCAATGCCTCCCTAACTTTTTTTTTCCTTCAATATGTCTAATTAAAAGAGTCTTTTTTTTTAGGGTTCATGTTATATATATGCTTTTTTCAATATGTATGACATGTTCATCAGTTTTTTTAGCTTCTTGCACCGCACCAACTCAACATCAGTTTTCCAATCCCATTACATGTCTTTGCAGTCTGATCATTGCCATTCATTTCTAATCATTTTCTTCCTCTTTTTTAAGCTCATTATTTTTCCCATTTCTGTCATTAAATAAGAGGGAGTCTGGCCAAAATTTACTCACCATCAAAAACAAGAATACAAGTAAACCATTTTTTCTTAAAAAAAAAAAAAAGTTAAAGTGCCTTTTTAATTTTAAAAATTGTTTTCATTTTGCAGTTTTATTCACACTTTAAAATATACTAATAAGTGTAAATAACTAAAATTGCAAATGATTCATTATTTCAGGTTCTAGCTATAACTGAGCTAATAGATAAAAAATATATATATGTCTAGATTTCCTCAATTATTTTTGGAACCCTGTTTCCTCAATTATTGGCCATGAATAACTTGTTTTGTATTTGACAGAAGAAAGAGGTGAAAGCAAACTTGCTGTCCATTGTGACTTGTTGCTATCATCCAAAAGTTTTCTTGGTCAAAAGATCAACTTATCAAGATCATCATGCAAAAATTTGACCATTAGTTATCTTTGCTTTTGCTATTTAATGCCAATCAAACCATTGAAAATGCTTTAGCTATTGGTTTTTTTTATGGAAATTGAATTGATTTCCATGATGAATTAATTTCAGCCAAGGATTTTTAATGTTGAACGTATAGAAATAGAATCAACTAGCTTATGCATGAATAATTAGCTGAGAATATACAGTGACTTAAATGATAAAGTCATTTTCTCTTGTAGGCAAGAATAGTGAAAGAAAATGAGTAGGCTCATGAATGCATAGAGACAAAGGAGAATGATGTCTTCTCCATCTTTATTATCCTCATTTTCTCTCAAATACTTGATTATTTCTAATCTCTTATTGAATAAGCCCATTACACTTTTCTCTCTTTCTCTCTCTCATTCTTTTCTCCCCATATGAGGTGGTAAGCGTCATGTAATGGTGCAAAATGTAAAGAAAAAAAAATTGGTGTCTCAACAAAAGAGTTCATTGGCAAAGAGAAGAGTTTTTTTAATCAAAATTTAATATTTTAAAAATATTTCAAAAATAAAATTTTAAATGTACTAAATCAACATAATAGAATGTCTTTAGATCATCCAAAAATATATTAAGTTGAGAGAAAATATGGAGATATTTAATTATATTATATTTAAAAAATTAGAGTAACAATTAATTAATTGATTAATATTTTAAAATTTTTTCAATTTGCATGTATGGCTAGATTCCAAGGCTGCCTTTTATCATTTCTATCATCTCTAATTTATTCTTGCTCTTTGTTTTTAGCTTTCTTGGAAGAGGGTTGGGAAACCATAATCATCTCAAGCAGATCTTGTAGCTTAGCTTTTTACTAACATGTAATCTAGGACGATGACTTGTTAGTCTGCAGAGTCATGAGTGACCTCTCTTCTGTCTCTCAGGTCAATATAGATGGGCGTGAAAATGGAACACCCATTCGAAATCCAATGTTTACAGATGATTTCTGTGTGACCCTAGTGGCCATTACCCTGAATAAAATTATCCTTTCTTAGAGATTTAGAGGATGCTGCCTTTAACCCTTTCTTCAACAAAACTTCAAAGCTTGCTTTAACATGGACAAGAGTCAACTCGGCTGAGCAAGCCCCCCCCCCCAACACACACACACACCAAAAAAAAAGTTTCATTGCTCAGTTGGTGCCAAAATGGCAGCAATCTTTCTCGAACTCATCAGCTCGGTTACTCAACTCAAACTCAGTTTATGTCTCGTGATGGCCCAATAAATCTATGGATGGGGAATCTAATGATGATTAGCATTTGCGATTAAGATCTGTTTTGGTTTTATTATAATATAGTTTATGCAGAATCGTTCATCTGTCAATTAAAATGCATTTCTTAACGTAAGAGGAACTATAATCAAAGTTAAGAGTAGCAGTAAACTTCCATTATGTTAATTTGGACAAGGTTTTAACTACAATGATTGAAAGATAAAAAGTATAATTACTTTAGGTTAAACTTTCAGGGAAGGAAAAATCAGGCAAAGGGGAAGGAAAGTAGGAAACCCTTTTGATCGGATATCAGTATAGTAAATCATGTGATACAGAATGATAGGATTGGTCTGAAAAAGTATTGATTTCCTACCCACCATGGAAGGTGCAAGATGCTTGGAAACCACTTGTAATTCTGGTAAGATTAGGTGCTTAATCCCATTTGAACGTACACTTGGTGGATAAGGTACTCTTAGTGATATTTGTCATTCATTTTAAATACTTTATCAGTTTAAAAATCTCAGACTTAATATCACGAAGAACCTCTAAAATAATAAAATATTTAATGTGATATTTAAATTTTAAAATTTTTTAATAAGATATTTGAATAATAATTTTATTAATAAATATGATAATTAAAAGATTATTTATTTTTCATATGTGATTATTTAGAGTTAATCAAATTAGAAGTGAGTATCATATTAATTAAAAAATTTATAATTTATATATCATATTAAAATTTTTTAAAATTTAATAAAATATTATAATTCAACATTACTGGTGACATTAACCTAAGGACGGATAACCTGAATAAAATCTGATAATTTCTCCTATGTAGGTTATTTTTTACACTTCTCTCACATTGTTCTCTGCATTTCTTTATCAGAATGAATTCTGTTCATCCTTTGGTACGAAACTTTCCACATCAACCAAACTGCAAGTTGTTGGGAGCCTCAAGAATTTATATGCTTGCAGAATCAACAAATGCCATTTCATAAGAGCCGGCAATTCTCCTTTAATCTTATACCAGTAACCATAATGTCTTTTTCGTTGACTATTAAGACATTCTTTTTTAACCATCTCTTTTCCTCCCAATGACATGACAGCATAATTACTCAGTTATGCTTTATATTTGTGCAAACAGCAAACAGCAATAATAATACAAGGGGAATAATAATAATAATAAAAGAAGTCCGACTGTGATCAGCTTATTCCATGGCAACAATAAAATTAAAGAGATTAATGAGCGAATGTTCCCCCTTGGAGACAAGGACATTTCCAAATTATCCCAAAAAAATTTTTTTTTGACCAAATACATTTACTCAACTGTTTTATCAATACGCATAGCTAAAACACTTGCAGATATGTGCCCAACAGACAGATCATTAGACCAAGCTATTGCACTGTGACTAACCACCAAGCAACTCTTGTCCTTGCCAAGATTGTTTGTCCCAACTCAGTGGTTGGCATTCTCAGCTTTGCCATACCTGATAATCTGCAAGCAATGTGACAATACACGCTTTTGAAATTGCAGCAGTGACATTAAAAAGTTGTTTGGAATTCGAGGCTGCTTTGGCAGGAAAGTCTTACATAAGCAGTGACCTAATAAACTAGTGAGAGGGAAAGCGACCTGTGCCCATTTTAAAAGGTGACATGGGCCAACCAAACACACTATGTACAAGCCGTTTCCAGTTCACATTTGCATCTTTAGCAAACCAGACATCCAAAGTCTAAACTGCAAAAGTTCACTATCAATTCCCTTTAGATAATCTTTCATTACAAATCATTGGCTTCTTTGACTTTTTTCTCATGGAACATAAAAGGGTTAGGCTTTCACATGCAGTTATAAGGCCCTAATGTTTGGTGAAAATGGGATTCGATCTCAAGTTGTTGCATAACTGGCACCTTTCAAATGGAGTATAAACCATCATCATTGATGTTAGGGCTTTAGAGAACCCAAGGGTTACACTGGGCCTGGTCATGGCAGGCAATGGTTTATGTTCATGAATTGAACTGGGCTGAGTTCATCATCAATGAACAGTTTCAAGTCCTAATCCAGAACAGTTGACTTGAGACTGCAGAATTAAAAAAAAAGTATTTATTCTTAAATTTTCAATACTTTGTAGCTAAACGGAAAAACCAATATTGAAGGTCATACTTTTTTCAAGAAAAATAGCATAATTTGTTGAGTTAGAGATTAATTTCATAAAGCTTCAGATTCGACTCCTTCATTGTATTTGGAATCAATATAACCTCCCTCAACACAATGATATATGCATCAGCAGACAGCAACAGATTTGCAGGCTGTCAATTGCATCATATCCTATGAGAATGAAATATTGCTTCTTGATTCAATCAACAATTGTAATACTTTAACATGGGGGAAAAAGCAAATGCGACAAACCAATC